TTTATTGGTCTTGGAGTTTGCTGTGTTCTGCTTGATTGGTGTTTCTATTATCTTCTAATATCTTCTAATATTAGAAACACCAATCAAGCAGAACACAGCAAACTCCAAAACCAATAAACACAGACCAAGACTCCCAACCAATCAGGATGAAGAAAAAACCATTCTGGCACAGCAAAGGCTAGCACCAAATTTAAAACAGAAACGGCTGTGAAAGTCTGACTCACAGACGAACACAATACAGAAGCCTGATTGATGATGGCAGATGAGATTCTGCCGAAACGTTGCTACAACTTTAAAAGCACAACTATAATGATGTGGGAAAATACCCGAACAAAGCTGAATACCGTGTGTGTGTGTGTGTGTGTGTGTGTGTGTGTAAAGTTTAATATGAAAAACAATCCTGAATGAAATTGGACACTTGAAAGCATTCCCAATAATTTTTCACAGATGTACATAGTTTCAAAATATCTACTGGTTCTAAAAGATCAATATTACTAAGGTGCTCTTATCTATTTCTTGCAACTGTCCCTGTAGCCAAAATTAACTGGTGTTAACTTGTGACCTACCTACTGCACAAGTCCTGACTTTCTGGGAATCTTTGTTGTGTTTTTACCATGTCATTAGTGTTGTTTTTCCTCATTGGGCACAATGAGAATATATTTGCTGAACAAAACTCCACATTGGCAACAGGAAGGGCATCCGGCCAGTAAATACCCTGCCAGCTCCATTCAGTTGCCCAGACTCCACCCCGCATGGGATTATGGGGTCATTAAAAGAAGAAGATGATGATTAGTGTTGGGTTTTGAATGAAGGGAAAGTTGTTGTTTCAGTGAACCAGCTCCCTGGATGGTAACTGACCAAATGGGCAGGCGTGAAGCTTGTCATTCTGCTTTAGAGCCTCAAACAATATTGATATTATTTGAGACATGCCAGAGGCAGATGTAATTGACAAACTCACAGTATATATCAGCATAAAGTACTTTCTAATATGAGTAAACAAAACAAGCATTGGACACCCATTTACAGAGGATTGCTATTATTTCTTTTTAATTTCATTTTGTAGATGGGCTACCATATTGACCCAGCAATTATTTATGGATATGGGTCTGCCTGATGCAAGTCTATATTTTCCCAATGTCCCATTCTTTTAATATGAATATGTGTATAGATTAGCTTCTTTCCCTATAGGAATCAGCCTGGAAAGATGGAATAAACTCACCAATTTCATACATACAGCTAATCCGTAGTGATCAGCCTTGATTTGTTGAGGAAATTAAATTGGCTGTTCACATAGTTAAATGTTAAACCATGATGATTTACAAACCACAATGGTTGGAGTTGTATGGGATATAATTGACAAATGAGTGTTTTTCTTTGAACAAAATATATATTTGTCTGGCATTGTCTATTATGATATTAGCTTGCAGAGCCTAAGACAGATGTTTTTCCCATTACATTATACTTCTCCACCCATGTTTTCCCCCCACTAAGCTGAATATAACTCTTCGTTGTGGCAAATTATTGGGAATCATACCTACTGCTTTTTCAATCAAACTTGTCCCATTTCATTTTTTTAACATGATCCATATTCTTTTAATCATCCTACGAGTACATTCATAGAGTAATAATTAGGCTAAAAATATGTCTGTCTTAAAAAAAAATCTGATTTTCGTAATTAACCTACCAAGAGTAACTTGCTATGAAAAGGTACAGTACTAGAAATAAATAGTTCTACCGTTCAACAATCCATGAAATGGGTTGCCATTTCCAGTCTGCATGTTAAGTCCAGAAGTCTTTTCAAAGCATCAACTAATTTGACTACACATGAAGAATAGAGTGGGTCTAAATATACCAAGTCCCCCAAAGAAATGAGAAGGCAATTTCACTTAATCTCTTTTTTGGTTTTGTAATGAGCAGAAACCACCAGATAGCTGTCTGGAGTCAGGTCCTTGATGGTTGGGGACTTGTTCTGGATGGGAGAGGTTTTGCCATCCACCCGAGATATTTGCAGCATTCGGCAGGGGTCATGCTTCAGCAAGTATCCTGCAAATGTCTCCCATCCTCCTCCTACACGAACCATTACGTGTTTGTTGTGAAGCATCTAAATTAGCAAAAGCAATGAAAAAAAAAGGAAATTTAAAACAGCTGAAGGGTAAAATTCACATTTATCAACTGTTGAGAAGTGAAAGGGCCTGATATCATACATAATCCTGTTAAACACATTGTTAGTATCCAATTCTGGGCAATTCTAACATTTGGCAGGAAATATAGATTTTGGTCCCTGAGATATTGACTCCACAAAGATAGTCAAATCTAAATTGATATGCCCTTTCTTGTTATTAAGTTCTAGGGAAAGAATTAACTTATGAACCCCTTCTAAACCAGTGGTCCCCAACCTTTTGGGCACCAGGGACCGGTTCCGTGCACTGCTGCCTGCATCCCGCAGATGGGGCTTCACTTGTTTGTGTGACCCAGTTTCTGACATGCCGCGGACCAATACCCATCCACGGACCAGGCATTGGGGACCCTGTTCTAAACTATGGCAAAAAGAGAGATGGGGCAACAGTGCTTGCTTTGATTCTTATAGCAATTTGTTCCATAATATGCTTCACAATTGATAAAAAGGAATGGATTGTTGATGTCAAATGTATCTGTGGAAAGTACCTACAAAAAATAGTTGACTGATGAGCCAAGAATGTAAGCGGGAGTTCATGTTCTCTAAATAGCTGGAAAACTAGATCAACTTTATTTGGCACCATTCTTGTTTGTCTTAGACAGCAATCAACAAGCAGAGAAGCATTTGCAGTAGAGTGATAATCAGGGACTTGTGTTTAAGCACTCTGGACCAGATGCAGTTTCTGGAGTATCTTCAGGGACCGTTTCATAAAGAAAATGTTGGAGTAGTTTAGCCTATAGCAGGGATGTCAAACTCACATCATCATAGCAGCATCATGTGATGTACTATATTGGGACTTTTTTCCCTTAGCTAAACCAGGCGTGGGCATGTCGAGCACATGACACTCTGGCCCATGGACTGGGAGTTTGACAGCCCTGGCCTATAGGAATCACTGAAGCCAAATCTTTCTCTTTAGATATGCATACACCTATTTGATCAGGCCAAAAGAGCCACTCCGAAGAACATTTAGATTATTGAGTCACTAATGTGGTAACACCATCTTAACTGTTATTACTGTTCATACTCAGGTCTTAATTTTACAACTTGTGATGGTCTTACATTTTTTAGCACTGAATATACTAATCAAGATGCTGCATCAAAAAAACCGTATCTTTCGCAAGTCCCATTGCAACTTCAAGCATTGAAGAGCCACGTTCAATATCCTATCCTGTTTATTTTCTCTATAAGAAAGTTGAATATCTATTCTGAACAGTCTCCAGTACAGATAGATATGAACAATGGATATCTAAGCACAATGGATACCCCTTTGACAATCTTAATCTTTAATCATCATTAAAGTAGATTATTTTTTAAAAATTGGTAGGTTCTCAGACTATAGTATTATGAGTATCACTGAAGAAAAATAAATAAAAAGTTATTCAAAACTCCTTATACCATAAACAGGGTTGCTCATCCAAAGAAAATATAAGCGGCCTTGCTTTAGGAGAAAGTAAACTAACCAAAGCCTTGTTTTAATATTAGTTTAACATCTTAAAGCAAAATAATTAAAATAATTCAGAATAAAAACCTGCTCCAAAATAACACAGCACTAGCAACAAAATGGGTTATCATACTTGTTATTAGTACCACAGTAGAAGGGACTATGCTCTACTTCTGAGTAAATACTACAGAAGTAGTAGAAAATCTGTTCAGTGAGGGCTACCTATTCTTGATGGCTTGAAGATAAAAATGACTTAGGTTTTTCATGAACATGACATCATTTTGTTTGGGAAATTAAAGATAGTATATATACAATTAATTATTACTGTCCCACAATCTCCCAAATCTGGTGGGTGATCCCAGAAGAAGCAATTAAGCCATTGTCAGAAAATAAAATGTTACAAGCCAAAATATATTGCAGAAAAAAACTAAAATTTAAATATAATATTTTATATATTAAATGTAAAAGAAAAAATAATCAAAGCACTAATAAAATTTAATAGACTGCATGTTTAATAAATATTCTGGATAAAACACTGAATAAAACCCAGGAGGAAGAAAAGTCGGACTGAAGACCTGCTCTTCAAGCATCTCTGGACATAGAGAGGATGAAGATTTTACAAAAGTGGTCCAGACAATTGTTTCTATTGAGCAGACTTCAAGACAACAATCTTTAGCAGGTTTTGAGCAATGGGAGACAAGGGAATAGCCATCTTGTTCATCTTGCAAGGGAATAGCTCATCTTGTGGTTAACACCTTTAAAAGAATTCTATGTGTGCACACTTCCTCTACTAATTATATTAGGAAATTGCCTATTAACTACTTTTCAGCTATTAGGGATCCTTGAATCAACAAATCTAAAACCACTGGACTGGATTAGTCTACCTTCAATCCTTAATGAAAGAAAACTTTAATTACTAAAATGAATTAAACAGCACAAAGATAATTAAGATTTTGATTTTGAAAAGTTTAAATGGGTAAGTTATAAAAAATTAATTATGAAGAATCCTTCCACTGAGAAGCTTGGTTCTAAACATATAAGACATAACAATTTTAATAATTGGACACTAGAGGGAACTAAAGTTTTTAATCAAAGGAGGAGAATACATAAACCTAATTAAGAATGACAAAGTATTATAACATTTTGGAAATGTTATATTATAACAATTGGAAATACTGCAGGATACTTTTGAAAAGTGGAATCAGAAGTTAATATCAACAATGTCAATAGTGATTGTGGGTAGATTGTGTCCAAACAACATTTTAGAAAAAATGGCAGAAGAGGAACGACTTTATTTGACAAGACAGAGATGCCATCAAAAGTGGATCTAGAAATAATGGGCTACCAGAATGACATGGAAAAAGATGTTTAATTGGACATACAAAATAATTTGGTTGATGTTTTAGAAAAAACAAAAGGGAATTACAATTAATAAACCAACAGAATGACCTGGATAATTCTTTTATATTGGATTTACAAAAGAGATTTGTTAAAGCTTGTATGAATCTTGTGAAAATGAATAAAAAGAAATAAAGAAAAATGTAGCTTTATGACATTACATGGACTAAAAATAAGATAGAAGTCCAAGGAAGGAATATAAAGTTAGCTTATTTGATAAAGGTAAGTTGTTATTTTCTGGTAATTCTTAATAGATCATTGTTCACATCAGAACTAAAATGACAATATTTATGGATTTGTTTATAGATAAGAGTTAGACATAGAATGATCAGATCATTGGTTGTAAATTAAGAAGTGACAAAAAGTTACTAAAATGTTTATACTTGTTATGACAAAACTTGGAAGTCGCTTCTTTATATATTTCTTTTTCTTCATTATATTCTTATTTTCCTCTTTTTTCCTTTTGCACTTTTTCCTTTACTATTTCTATTCTGTTCTTTCTTTTTTTGCATTAGTTTTTTTCAATCGCAATTATTGTATTTAATGTTATTTTTAAAAGCTTGGTAAATATTTTAGGAAAGGTGAAAGACTGAGAGCACATGTGAACACAAAATTTATTTAATCTTCTAATAATTACTATCAATGGGTTTATTTCTTCAAGGATCTATTGTATATTGTTTTATTGTTGATATCATTCAAATAAACAAAACAATGGGGATTACAAACTTGCAGCAGCTAATTCAATTAAAAAAACATGCAGTTGAAGACAACTACACAATTAGAATGCAACTAAAAATTTTTATAGGATATGTGCAATTCAGATATGCATAACATTTGACTTATTGGTTGGTATGTGCGTCCAATCCTTAATTAGAGAAATAAAATAGTAATATGAGATGGATTAATTATAACAACAACAGCAACATAATATAAATTTCAAGCACAACAGTCTTGACCTTAAGGAAAATTCTCAAGCTGAAACAGCTGCCATTATTTTCATGCCAAATTAGGAAAATATGAAAGATTCATAAACTCTGGAGGGGATTAATCAATGGAAACCTTTAGAGGTCATCATTCTTCCTAGGGGAAAAATATTTGGAATTTTAAAATGTGATACTTTGAAAGCATTTTCCCTCAGTCTTGCCAGTCATTGTAATTATAGAAGCATATCTTGTTAATATTGACATTCTTACATCCATTTGTGAAAAGTCAGAACCTTATGCTTAAATATGTAAGGGAACTTTATCTGAGGAAAGCTGAAATTATTTTGGTTATGAGTACTCCTTTCTTAATAGGTTTTTGGTTAAAAAGGAAATAGAATGTTGCTCTCTTTTATTCACATGCAAACCTAGGGTTAGAAAGCTGACTTGAATGTCATCAGAAGAAACATGTTAATGGAATATCATGGCTCCAAACAAAGAGCCTTCAAATACAGAGTTCTGCATCATCAACAACAATCTAGAAGACAAAAAAAGGGAAAAAGAACCACTCTTTGATTATTTCCTATGTAGGGCCACTAACCTGGACCTTTATTTGACATTTGCTAAATATTTGGGAAATGTTTCTGAATTTCGGTTCTAAATTTTGTATTATGAATTTTTCCAGCAAGCAAAACAGCCTAGTCTGTTTCCAATTAAATAAAAGTATGTAGATATCTTTCCAGACAAAGTAAAAAAAATGGAAAGAAGGTTAGCATTTTAATCCAAGGTACTTTTTCAAGAAGCAACTGGAGTTTCTTGTTTTTCTTTGAAGACATTTCACTTCTCATCTAAGAAGCTCCATAGACAGTTAGCATTTTAATATAATTTGGGACACTTCTTGTGGAAGTGGAGCTCCCACCAGGTCCCTTAACCCAATCCGTTGTTACTAGTCACTGTTGAGGAATCTGCCTCTTAATCTATAACACAACCAATGCTAGGATCCTGAATTTGAGCAGAAAATCTTTAGACCAGGGCTTGCAACACTGTCCATGGTCCTGAAATTGCTAATCTACAAATCTTCAGCTCATTACTTTTAAACTTCTTGCCTAAACAATAACCTTTCTGGGAAAGGAGATTGCCTGATAACTCCAAAAATCATCATGCTT